CATTGCCAAATTAGTAATTTTGATCACCACGATGATGCCAATTATGAATTTTAAGAAGTTGAATTTAAAGATTCAAAATTGCAAACAATATAAGAAGAAACTGGTGGCTTCTAGAAACTGAAACTATTTTTTGAACAAAAAAGCTAATTGAATTATCTATAAATTTATATATATAACAGTTCAAGAGTATTAATATGAGTAAATGTTATTATTAAATTTAAAAAATAGTAACACTATGTATAAATTTGTTATAGACAAAATTGCTGCATGTAAATGTTGAACAAAATACTTCGAGTGTGAAGTTCGCACGTTAAGATTTGAATTTCAAATTACAATGATTAACATAAATATTACATATGGACATTAAATTATTAAATATATAAATCAAGATATCAATTTATTAATATATATTTGAAATAATATTGCTTATTATTATTTAATAATTAAAATTAATCAAAACAGCTAAATCTTTTATTTGACAATACAAAATTACTGCACGGAAAATAGACACAAAATACTTCGTGTGTGAAGTTCGCACGTTTACATTAACTGTTAGGATTTAAAATTCAAATTTCAAATAAGTTTAAACAACTCCTGCCAAGTTCAAAGATAAATTGGATATATTTAGACAATAATTTGGAATGCTTCAATTTAAAAAATGCTGAATTCAAGGCAGAATGTTTACTTTTAAGATGATCAATTGCTAAAACTAACAAGCAGATAGTTTTGGCACCATGTTGATGTTAATCAAATGTATTATAGTAGTTCCAAAAAAGATTTAAACATCTGCTGATGGATTTTGACTATCTGCTGATATGACTATCTATTCTTGGTCGTCTATACAAGTTACAATTTTTAAAATAATGCAGAAAAATCTTACTCCTCAACCACATACTTAAATACATCATACAATACCATTCCAATCAATCAAAGTCCTTAAAAATAACTCCTCAATCATACCATTTAGATTTGTTAGTCAAAACGTGGATAAAACAATGTATGTGTGTTGGTGTCATGCTATAAAAATAAATTTTGGAAAAAATAGATATAGTAAGTTGACATTTTTATCCAACTATCTGGTATTTACCATAAAGCAGGATAAACTTCTTAGTAATAGTTGTTACCAAAAAATCGCAAAGTCATTTTGGAGTTGATCTTGAACATAAAGTTTATCAACTTATCAAAGGGTTTACATGAGAAGACTTTGCTCCCAATTAGACACATAAATTTAGTGATAATATCCAAGAAATGAAGAAGAAACAGGTGTTCAAACAGAGAGATAAGTTCACACAGAAAGTTTGTTTTTAGCCCCAATTTTGTCCAGGATATCCATTCCCTCTGGTTCCTGAAACATGGTAATCACCAAAGACAAAAGTCAAGAGACATAACAATTTAAGGTACATAGGCCCACAAAAACACACAAAAAATACCTCTTCTCTCCGAAGACCATTCTCCAGTTTTGTCAATCAACTCGATCTCATCACTATAAGGCTTAGTTGTCAATTTATATTCATTCAAAGGCCAATTATCACCAGTTGTCCTTGTAGGATTCTCAGTAACATCATCATGGTCTTCGATTTCATTACTGTCTTCGACAACTGGAGAAGATTCTTGTGATAAATCTTCTTCACTATTTTTAGGCTCTAAATCTTCACCACTAGTTATTTTGGTGTCGTCTGTAGTTTTGGTGTTACTGGAACCCCAACTTGACCAAGGATCCCACCAACTGCTTTTGGATTCTTTTTTACCATCATTGGTATCAGTTTTTTCGTTGCTAGTTTTTTTGGTATCTTTCCAAGATTCACCAGAATTTTCTTTGCTGAATTTGTTGTCATCCCAACTAATATCTGACTCTTGTTTTTCTTCACCACTAGTATCATCAGTTTTTTCTTTGCTATTTTTTTAGTATCCCAGTTACCAAACCAACTAAATCCAGTGTCTTTTTTATCACCTTTATCAGTTTTTTTGGAATCATCTGTTTTTTCATTGCTGGATTTTTTGGTGTTCCACCAAGATTCACCAGAGTCTTCCTTGTTAGATTTGTTGTCATCCCAACTTATATCAGATTCCTTTTCTACTTCATCACTAGTTGTCTTGGTGTCATCAGTTTTTTCCCTGCTGTTTTTTTTAGTATCCGAGCTGCCCCACCAGGAATCTTTTTCCTCCTGGCTTTTATTTTTTACAGGTTCATCTTCGTCATCAGAAGGAATTTCAATGTCGCCTCTGTGATTGTATTGGTCGTTTTTGGGTTTTTTGCTGCTAGATTTTGATTTTTTCTTGGATTTGGACTTAGATTTCTTTTTGTTGGAATACTCTGACCATTCTTGTTCGAAAGAATTGATGTCTTCAGAGCTGACGACGTTTTCTTTGACTTCTGAAGAACCAAATTAGATGCAAATAATAGGATCCACCAAAGTTTTGAAAGCGACATCCCATTGAAAGTTGACCAATTTTTATTGACGAAGACCATTTTGCATTCAATTTTGTTGAAACCAATGTTTGGCAATTCATTGTAAACAATCCAGGACAACGACGAAGATCATTATTTATTTTTTGGGCAAAATTTGTATCACGTTGATCAAGTTTTTCACCCAATGTTTGGCAATTCATGGTAAGTATTCCAGGAGCAACAATTTTTTGGACAACAAAGAAGATCATAGGTCAATTTTTTGGGCAAAGTTTGTGTCACGATGATCAAGTTTTTCACCCAATGCCAAATTTTTAATCAGATAAATTTGTATTTCATTGATGATAACCACCAAGTCAAGTATTTTGAACATGATCAATGATATCCAAGTTGACCAATGCATTTTTTAGCCAATTTTTCCCATCCAGGTAGAAGATAATCAGTAGAACCAAACCAAAATTTGTTGATCCATCACCAATGCACCAATTTTATGATTTTTTTTTTCAAATTCAATTACCAATTTGAATATCACCCATATATTTTAATCAGCATGATTTTTTTGGCATAATTTTTACCAATTGTACCAAGTTGTCGTATGGTTGTGTGCAATCAAATGTTGTTAAAATAAGAACAATGCAGAAATTAGTATTAGTTGATGCTACATGACTAGTACTAAAGTGACTAAATACTAAAAAAAATGATCAAACTAAATCTACTTTTACTACTGTATGTAATTTGCTAAAATGCCATTAAGCCATTTCAAAGCTGGTCATGCTGTAAGTCAGTGATTTCCAACCTGGGGGTCGGGAATGTAAAAAACAAACCAAAAACTTAAAATTAGTTTGACCGAAATAGATAAAAAGAATTTGGTAATAAATTATATTGTTTGAAAAAATAAGATGTTGGTGAAAAAATAATCTTGGAATTGGTGTTATAGAAATCAATCAAAAAATTTGTTAATATATTATAATGTTAAAAACATAACGTGTTGCAAGTTTTTTTTGAGTTGGAAACCACTGCTATAAGCTGTATGGACTTGCAATAACAAAAGCTTGTATAAACTTTTATAAAAATAATGCAAAATGCTGACGATATTTAATGTACGTGTATATATATAAAAAGGTAGAAGTACAATTTTGTATATTAACCCTAAACTAGGTGTAAGTGGCATTTTTCCTTAAGACAAGTAGCATGACCGTCCTGATTTGTGTAGGAAAATAGAAAATGGGGCTTTAGCTATGCGGATGGAATTTAAATTTAAAATTTGGAATGCAAGATTTTAATACATTTAGGTACACAGTTTTTTAGATAATTTTATCTCGATTCTTTTGTTCTAAAACAAAAAATATGTATCTTGACCAAAATGAAGTTATTTACAATAGACTGAAAAAATGTACCTTAGTTTTGTCGACTTTGTATCGAAGTTTTGCACATATACATAATTTATGTGCCTATATCTTCTTTATATATTAGGTTGTCAAATATCTCCCTTCCGCTTTTATATATATATATATATATATATATATATATATATATATATAAAAAGCGGAAGGGAGATATTTGACAACCTAATATAATGTTAGAATAAATGTAAGTACACAGTTTTATAGCTAATTTTATCTAGACTTTAAGTTTCTTAGACTACAATTGTCTATCTTAATCCAAAACAAAGTTATGTGCAAAAAACTGAGAAGTAGTCACTTTTTAAGGGTTGATTTTATATGAAACGTGTCGCTTTAATGATACATTTCGAAAGCTTGTATTTTCTTTGTTAATTTGTTTATAAAAAATATACGTACACAGTTTTTTAGCTGATCTTATCCTGATTTTAAGTTTCTAAGACCACAAGTAAAAAACTGAAGAAACGCTACTTCTTAGGCATTTGTTTGGCATAAACAGTATCTCTGTCGATTTTTTTACGCATGGATACTTTTTTATCTTCTTTATTTATTACCGTATTACAAATGTAAGTACACAGTTTTCTAGCTAATTTTATCTAGATGTCTAGAAGTTTTAAAGACCACAAATAACTGTCTTAATCCGGAACAAAGTTATATACAAAAAACTGAGAAAAAGTCATTTTTCAACTATTGATTTTATATGAAACGTGTCGCTTTAATGATGCATTTTGAAAGCTTGTATCTTTTTTGATATTTAGTTTATAAAACTTATAAGTACACAGTTTTATAGCTAGTTTTATTTAGATTTCAAGTTGCTAAGACCAAAATTGTCTATCTCAATCCAAAATTAAGTTATTTACAAAAAACTGTGCAAACTTTACTTTTTAATTTGTTCATTTTGTGGGTCGCTATTGACTTTAACGCATACATACATTTTATACCCTTGTACCTTTTTTGTAGGTCATTTTTTTATAAATTTAAGTATGCAGCTTAGTAGTCAATTTTATATCGATTTTAAGTTGCTAAGACTACAACTATCTATCTCAATCCAAAACAAAGTTACATACAAAAACCCACAAAAATGTATTTTGGCTTGCCCTCTTTTATACCATTGTACTTCTACCTTCTCTAAATCTATTCAAGGACTATCACAATTTTTTATAATTATTTTTACGAAATTTCCAAAAACTTACCGTCACAATTCCTCTCATCACTTCCATCAGAACAATCGGAACGTCCGTCGCATTTTAGACGATCATCTATACATTGAGAATTGTCGCAACGGAATTGGTAAGGGCCACAATCACCTGGATAAAAAAATACACAAAAAATTAATAAAAATTATATAAAAATTCTTAGACGTAATACAGCCCTAAATTTTCACCCTCCTACTATAAATCTCTTATATAATAGTTTTCATAGGTGATTTTTATAATTATTTATCAGTTTATCTTCATTGAAAATATTTTTTACATCATTGAGAATCTGAATTTTTTCACAGAAAAAAATATTTTTGCGTCGAAAATAGGTACAACCCTAATTTTTCACATTTCCATAACCTTTGGCACGTTGTTTTATACATTTTAGATCAATTTATCTCGCAGTTTCCAGAAACAATGACAACTGTCATTTTGTCAAAATTAACTGAAATTTCTAAAACTTTAAAATGAACTGAGAATTTTAATATAGCCTATAACCTAAGTTGATTAAAAATGCACAAGTTGACCCAAAAAAATTTACAATCGCTTCAGTAGTTCAGGCGTCCATCGCGGACACACAAACTTTGTATATAAAATTCTTCTGTACGGATGTATGAATCGAAACTCCTCCTAAACGGTTATTCGGATTCAGATAAATCTTTCTGGAGATTGTCAAGGGGAATTTTTAAGATGTAAATGATTATAAAAATATAATAATATTGCAGAAATAAGTAGAAAAAATTGCAAAAAACAACATAACATTGCTTGACATTAAAAACATGTTTACGGAACTGTCACCTGCCAGAAATGTCAATTCACTTTTTGAGTTTAAATTAAATTATGAGCCTAGATAATATCAGAATATAATATACAAAAGAAATAAGTAATGTCTACATTATTTTTATCGAAACGCAGTTGAGATGTACACGTACAGACAGTACATGTTTGGCAGATGAAATTATATAATTCAGTTTAGTAAATAAAGCAACAAGTTCATTATTGCATATAAATTATTTTTTTAAACTTCACTAAATTATTTAACAATACAAAAAATATTTTTACTTCTTAAAAAATGATGTAGAATTTTGTTTCACGTGTCAAAAATTCATTTGTTTGGCATCGGATATGGAATATTTAGCAAGTTGATCTTAGATTGAAGAGTAGATTTTACAAATTAAATCACTTGATATTTGTACTTAAACAATAATGCTTATTAAATTATTAGTAAAAATAAATGTACTTTAGAAATTATTTAGAAATAAGTGCCGAAAAGCAACTAATATGTCGTACGAGATTATGAAAATTATATACTAAACTATCGAGGCAATTATGTTGTGTGGTAAAATCAAATGTGATATTGTTCTTTTACTGCAGATACTATATTATTTTTTCTGAATTTATTATACTGCTTATGCTAAGACCATAAATGAATCACAAAGGCAGGACATCAAATAGGATATTAAAAAGTATAGGATAGGATATTAAAAACTTTGGAACTTTTGAATTGTAGACGTGGGTACAGGACAACGTCTGTCGGGTCATCTAGTATATATATACATATATATATATATATATATATATATATTTATATATTTATTTATGTATAATTATCCTACTATGATAATTATAATTCTGATCCGGCCTGTAAAGATTCGCCTGTGGGCAATCCCTCTCGTCGCTGCCATCATTGCAATTTCTGATGCCATCGCACCTTTTTCTCGAAGGAATGCAAAATCCATTGTCACATTCGAATTCTCCTCTTCTGCAAGCTGCCAAAAAAACTAATTTAATAAAAAACCTCCGAAAACACAGATTTTGCAAAAAAATGCAGTTCTGTGCGACCAAAAACAAATTGTGTAGGTAATAGTTTTATATTAGCTCTTGACAAATGGTATTTGTTGCTATTAAAAAAAGATCAATGGTATTCTTAACATTGGTAACTGAAGTATAATGCGTTTTCAAATTTTTAAATTTAAAAATGTATTTATGCTTATTTCCAGTAAAGCACAAATGTTGAAACAACGAAGAAATCTGTCAATAACTTCGCTACGAAGTTAATGTTACGTTTCTGTTCGTTACGTAACAGGCACGTTGCACTTGCTTCAAATTCTTATTAGTTTCATAGTCCATATAAAAAATAAGGTTTTTGTTCGTTGCGTACTTGAAAATTCTTATTAGTTATAATGACCATATAAAAAATAAGGTTTTTGTTCGTTGTGTATTTGATTAATATTTTTTAATTTCAAAATTTTGAATTGGTTACGTAACAGTTACGTTTAAAATTCTTATTTGGTTTTACGTTCTAAGAAAAAAAAATGTTTTTGTTCGTTACATACTTGTTGTACTATATATTTTTTTAATTTGTTTAGGCATAGATATATAAAAAGGAATAGGTTAGTGTTATTAAAGTATATTGTTTACATGAAAAAATATGTTTTTTGGATCATTTCAGGTCTTTTGGTGAATAGAATTCTTATAAAAATAGCACGAGAGTAAATAGAATGTTTTTTTTAGATATTAAAATTTTAGTGACAAAATAAACTTAATTTCATACAATTTTAAATTTGAGTTTTTTATTTTGTTAACTTTACAGTCTGTCATATAAATTTTGTAAATTTTACTCGAAAATATTTGATATAATTAATAATAAATAAATATTTAACAAAATAACATGTATACGTTTTCTTGGTTACGTGTAAGCGTCACGTAACCTTAACGTTTATTTGGTTATACAATTTTTACATATTTATTATGTCTCTTTTTAAATTAAATAAAAATGATTAATTGACTAGTTATTAATAAATAAAATGTATTTAAATTTTACTTAAAAATGTTCTTAATAAAATTAAAAATGAATAAATATTTAATAAAATAACTGTAGGTCTTCCTTGTTACGTAATCGCAACGTCACTGTTTCATTACTTTTGTGATTTACTGGTGTATAATAGAAAATCTATACAATAAATATTATTTTATATAATCATTATTAAGTTTTTGAAATTAAATTTAAATGAAAAATTAAGTTTTTAATAAATAATATTAAAATAAATTTTATATATAAAAATATTATTTAAACTTGGAATTAAGTTTAGTAGAAAGTTATTTGAAATATTTTAATATTTACTATTTTTTAATAAAAAAATGTGCTGTTTTATGTAAGCATATATTTTATAATAAATTATTAAAAAATATTACTTAAAATCAATAAAAATCAAATGTTTTGGCTAAATTCAAGCACTCGCAAAATTTTGTTAAATTTTTAAACATCATTAATTAAAAGTAATTATATTTTGTCTCATATATAATTATTATATTCAGTTCAAAGAGACAAATGTAATAAAATCTCGATTTAAATAGTAAATTATGAAAAATTGAATGTTAAATTATTATAAAAATATTGTAAAAAATAAATAAATAAATAAATAAATTCATTAGAAAGTTCATGAAAATATTATTTAAAAATATAATTTTATTAATAAATAAACAATATAAATAGATAATTAAAGTATGAGTATTTTGAAGCAAAGTATTATTTTTTATTTATTGATTAAATAATTATTTAAAAACAATATTAAACATAATTCGTTTTTTTAATATTTTTGTTATATAAATGTATAAAAAATATCGTTTAAACTTTATGAGAATATTAAGAATACCATTAAACGCAACAAAAAATAAAATAAAATTTAATAATAATTTGAATATTAAAAAAATAAATTATAAAATAATATTCATAATAAAAAAATATTTTATTAATTTATAACAAATATTTGTTAGACTAACTAAAAATGACATTTAGTTAACAAGACACAAAACACAAAACTAAAATAGCAACAACTAATACAATTTCTACAAAGAGCTAATAATTTGTTAAACTAATCAACTACACAACTAATTTTTTTTAGTCCATTTTGTAGTAGACAGCTTGAAGATGAGTCGAAGAAAATAGTAATAGTAAGAAACTGAAAAGAAAGGGCTCGTCTGATCTTCAGAAAAACTAAAACTTCAGACGAACTGGTCTTGAAGGAACTTAAGTCGATGATGGGAGATATTTGGAGTGCAATTTTTGGTAGGTTTATTGATAATGAAGAAACTGCGTGTCCGATCTTTATAAACATTTATTATGTACTAACTAACATTCATACGTATCGAATGGTTTTTGAATCATTCAAATCAGGCAACTACTTTTTGACATTTAGCTCAAGATCTAACGTTGATGGTATTTTAGGATATCTCTGATATGTTTTTACGTTTTAATTAATTCTGAAGAAACGGTTTGTCCGATCTTCATAAAAACTTAATGTATACTAGCTAACATTCATATGTATCGAATGGTTTTTGAATAAATCAAATCAGTCATCACATTTTTATCCAAGTTGCATCTACGTCAGATACAACATTAATTTCATAAGACGGTGCATTTGTTGATATTTGGGTTATTTACAAAGAAACGGCTAGTCTGATCTTTAACCAAATTGTAGAATCTCAAGTCAATATTTATATGTATCGAATGTTTTTTGAATAAATGAAATAAGTCATCACATTTTTGTCAAAGTAGCGCCAACATAAGATACAACATTAATTCTATAATACGGTGCATTTGTTGATGTTGGGATTATTTACAAAGAAAGGGCTTGTCTGATCTTTAAACAAATTGCAGAATTTTTAGACAACATCTATATGTATCGAATGGTTTTTGAATAATTAAAATTAGTCATCACGTTTTTGTTAGATACAACATTAATTTCATAATACGGTGCATTTGTTGATATTTGGATTATTTACAAAGAAAGGGCTTGTCTGTTCTTTAAACAAATTGTAGAATTCTAAGTCGACATTCATATGTATCGAATCGTGTTTGAATTATTGAAATTAGATTACAATTTTTGTATGTTAGAACTATCTCTAACAAAGACTTATAAAATGTGATGATGACATTGTATCATTATATCTCTTAATATATGTTTGGGGGTTTTAAATATTTTTTATGCCAAAAATTTATGCAGTAAAATTATGTAATAAAATTATATAATAACTTTTTTAAATATTACTCTATCATCTGAAAATAAAATATTTATTCCAGAATATTGACTTAAGAAAACTTCAGC